CTAGATATAGATGTTTATTGCTATAAACTTTACTCTTAGCACTGTTTTTGCTGTATTCCATAGGTTTTGGTATGTTATGCTTTGACTTTCCATTGTTTCAAAAAAATTTTTGATTTCCTCTTTAATTTCATCCCTGACCTAATGATCATTCAGGAGCATATTTAGATTTCCTGGATTTTTAGTTTCTGAAGTTCCTCCTGTCATTGATTTCTAGTTTTATTCTGTAATGGATACCTGACATTTCAATTTTTCAAAAATTGTTGAGACTTGTTTTCTGTCCTAACATATCCATCCTGGAGAATGTTCCATGTGATGATGAGAAGAAAGTATATTCTGTAGCTGTTGGACGATATGTTCTGTAAACATCTCTTAAGTCTATTTGGTCTAAAGTGCAGTTTAAATACAATGTTTCTTGGTTAATCGTCTATGTAGATGATCTCTCTAATGTTGGAGTATCCAGCTCTCACTGTATTGATGCCTATCTCTCCTTGTAGATGTAATGAGATCTGCTTTATATATCAGGTGCTCCAGTGTTGGGGTCCATATGTGTTTAGGACCATACACTCTAGCTGAATTCATCCCTTTATCATTATATAATAACCTAGTTTCTTTGTACTGTTTTTGACTTAAAATCTGCTTTATCTGATATAAGCATAGCTAGTGCTGCTTGCTTTTTATTTCCTTGTGCATGGAATATGTTTTTCCATCCCTGTACTTTCAGTCTGTATGTCTTTACAGGTGAGATGAGTTTCTTGTAGGCAGCATGTATGTGGATCAGGTTTTTTTTTTCTTTTTTTTTTTCTGGTTCATGTTCTCTCATGAGGTTGCAATGTTTCTTTCTTTAAATCTGTTTAGGCAGTCTCTATCTTCTAAGGGGAAAGTGTAATCCATTTACATTCAAGGTTGTCATTGATATGTGAGGGCTTATTCTTATCATTTTGTTAATTTATTTCTGATTGTCTTGTATATCCTTTGTTCCTTTCTTTCTCTCTTACTGTTTACCATTATGGTTTGGTGGTTTTCTGTGTTTGCTTTACCAGTGAGTTTTATACTTTAGCATGTTTCCATGATGGTAGATTTCATCCTTTTAGTTCAATGCATAGGACTCCTTTAAGTATTTCTTTTTTTCTTTTCCCCATTTATTTATTTTATTGCATTTTAGGTTTTGGGGTACATGTGAAGAACATGCAAGATTGTTGCATAGGTACACACATGGCAGTGTGATTTGCTGCCTTCCTCCCCATCACCTACGCTTGGCATCTCTCCCCTTGCTATCTCTCGAGAACTCCTTTAAGTATTTCTTATAGGACTGGTCTAGAGGTGATGAATTTCCTTAGCTTTTACTTGTCTGGGAGTCTTGATTTCTCTTTCATTTATGAAGAACAATTTTGCTGAGTATACAATCTTTTGCTGGCTTTTTTTTTTTCTTTCAGCACTTTGAATATATCACCCCATTCTTTCCTGGCATGTAAGATTTCTGCAGAGAATATGCTTAGTCTGATGAGGGTTCCCTTATAAGTGAATAGACACTTTTGTCTTTTTTTTTTTTTTTTTTCTCATTTCATCTTGGATTCATGATAAAATTGTCTTGCTGTTTTTAGAATTCTCTCTTTGCCTTTTGACTTCTGACAGTTTGACAATAATGTGCCATGAAGAAGACTTTTTTGAATTTAATCTGTCTGGGAATCGCTAAGCTTCCTGTATATGGATGTCTAAATCTCGTTAGACTTGGGGAAGTTTTCAGCTATTATTTTATTAAATAGGTTTTCTATCCCTTTTGTCTTCTCTTTGCCTTCTGGGACACTGAACATTTTTAAAAAGCTGGTCATGGTGGCTGATGCCTGTAATCCCAGCACTTCGGGAGGCCAAGGCAGGCAGATCACTTTGAGACCAGGCTGGCCAACATGGTAAACCCTGTCTCTATCAAAAATACAACAAATTACCCAGGCATGGTGCCTGTAGGCCAAGAAGCTGAGGCATAAGAATTGCTTGAACCCAGGAAGCACAGGTTTCAGTAAGCTGAAATTGCATCACTGCACTCCAGCCTGGGTGATAGAGATTCCACCTCAGAAAAAAAAGAAAATTACAAGAAAAATTGGCCACTTACGGTGTCCCGTACATTATGTAGGGGAAGATGGACCCAGGCTGAGCAGGCCTGTACTCAGAACTCCTAGTGGTGGATGCAGGTGCTGGCTGTGGTTGGCAGGGTCAGGGTAACCCCCAGTTTCCTGGAAAAATGTTCAGGTTGGAGCAGCAGTAGCTGTGCTGTTCTTAGGGAGGGTGATGTAGCTTTTAGTGGCAGCAGCCATAAACAGGAGGTTGGGAAGTGAACACTTTAGCCCTAGTCACAGCTATAAGCAGGGTAGCCTTTCCTAAGGGTACGTTTAATTGTGCAGTGCTCCTGCTACTGAAGGCAGTGGGGTTGCTTGCCGCCAGTGGCTCACACTTCAGCTCTAGTGGCAGCAGACCAGAGCAGCCCAGCTGAGTCTGGGGGAAGTCAATGGGGCTCCAGAGATGTGGAAATGCAGGGGCTGTTGGGTGTCATGGCAGGATGCAGTCTTGTTGGGGCTGGGCTCTCAACATGGTGTCTTGTGTAGGACCTGGCATGTGTTCCCTTTCTGGTGCAATGCCATCGCATGGTCTCTAGGCAGCTCCCTATGTTTGTCTCAGGGCCTGCATGGGTCACAAGGGCTCTTCTGTGGATAGGACTGAAAAATCCATGGTGGGAATATAAACTGCTAGAAGTCACTCACTTAGCCTTTCCCCACACTGGGTAGCCTCTCCAGGATCCTAACTGATCCCTGTCAAGCAGGCTGCCTCGCTTCCTCTCCTTCCTCACCTTAGGTGTTTCCTGTCACTTCTCTGTTGAATTCCAGCATTCTCTCTAAGGTAATCTATTTGAAGTGAGAATATTGTCTCACTATTTTGGTTCTTTTTTGTTGACGAGGCAAGTACCCAATACCTCTAGTCAGACATCATGGCTAAATTTTGTCTGTCAGTTCTTACGCTTTCTACATTTTCTCAATTTTATAATCAAACCAAGTCAAAGTTTCAAAGTTAGAAAAGGTGTTAATTCTAAGCAGTGGGATTAGGACTAGTTTTTAGAATTAGAAAAAACGTACATAGAATTTTAAGAATTAAACAGAAGAAAAAAAGAAAAAGACCACCTCAAGAATAATGTAGTACTTCAAATTTCTTATATTTGTTATTTACAGAAGCATCAAGATAGAAGGTAAATAGACATAAAGAAGAGAAATAGTGAGAAAGAGGCCTTAAAATAAGTGGAACATGTGGAGTAAATGGAAAGAAACATGTTTATCACAGATAGTTTCAAACAGGGTAAACAGGAAAAGTTTATATAACTTAGAGATCCAAATTGGACACAAAATGTAAAGGACAATTAAAAAAAGATAAGCATGTAGAAGCTTCCTTTCAGTTGCAAAGTGTTGAAGATACACCTATCATCAAGGAGTAGTCACAGACAAACTTCAAACCTTGTCTGTTTCTTAACTATTTCCTTTAAAAATAAATAAATAAATTTAGGCGGGATGCAGTGGCTCATGCCTGTATTCCCAGCACTTTGAGAGGCCGAGGTGAGCAGATCACTAGGTCAGGAGTTCGAGACCAGCCTGACCAACATGGTGAAACCTTGTCTCTACTGAAAATACAAAAACTAGCCAGGCGTGGTGGCTCATGCCAGTAATCTTAGCCACTAGGGAAGCTGAGGTGGGAGAATCGTTGAACCAGAGAGTCGGAAGTTGCAGTGAGCTGAGATTGTGCCACTGCACTCCAGCCCGGGCGACAGAGTGAGACTCCATCTTAAAAAGATAAAAATAAATAAAATAAAACAAAAATTTATAGGTTCCAGGTCATGTTATGAGTCTCCTTCAACTCATTTTTTTCAAATCCCTATTGTAATTCAGACTATAAAAATATAATTGAAATATATATTATATACCAGAAGCTATTAATATCTTCTTTAAATTTCTTCTCATCAATTCTTCAATACATGTTTTAGTTCCCCCATTTTTGGGCAATGATAATATTTTCTCTTTCACCAGGATTTCTGGGATCCATAAAAACCAGTAGGGTGTATCTGTATCCAAGAATGAAGCAGAAGTTTGTGTTGGACATAATAAGGTATTATTGACAGAGGCAGACAAATGCCTATGCAGATGGGGTAGGTCCCCAGTAAAACCCCACCTCCAAGGCAAAGACAGTTTAAAGCCTGAAAGCCAAGCTACAAGTTAAATCCTTGGACCAGACTGAGAACTTGCCTTTCTGTTTGCACACTTTCCTCTGATTGTTCTCTGCCCTTTACCTATTTTATATATACGTACCCTTTCCTACTTGTTTTTTCCACACTGTTGTGCCCACCTTTGAGTGGTGCCTTCACTTTAACCTTTTTTGCATACTCACAAACCAGTCAGCACACACTCCCATTCTGAGTCCATAAAGGGCCCCAAACCCAGCCACATGGGGTAACCATCCCCCAACCCTGCATCCCCTCTCTGCTGAAAGCAGTTTTCATTGCTCATTAAACTTCTTCCCTGCCTTCCTCACCCTCTAAAGTCCACCATATCCTCATTCTTCTTGGGCGCAGTACAAGAGCTTGGGAACTGCCAAACATGGGTATGAGCTATATAACACAGGCAAGCTGGGGCACACCAGCATGGCTGAGCAAGGCCCGGCTGGGTGTTGCTAGCTGAGGGTCCCTGGCTTGCCAAGCAACCAAAAAGAAAAATCCTGCATCATTATCTCCTTATCTGAAAAACCCCATCTTCTGATCACCAACCAGCCTGATAGAATCAAGAAAAGCTGCATTTATACCGTTCTAAAATGTTTACTGACTGCTTTCTGTCTTAGCTCCCATAGAGAAGTTCAGATCCCAAATAACAGGTGACAGAGATTCTGGTTTAAAGTGAGACAAACATTGGACTAAGGCATAGAGTAGGTTCCACATCAATTCTTCCTGATGGCTGTGAAATGCATTTACTTACCCAATTCTCTTCTATTATTCCAATGTTATATTTATCATCCTTGCCTGGGTCAATTTGTTGCTTTTTCTCAGCATAAAATTCCTGGAGAGCTGCTAAGGCGTGGGCAGAAAGCTGTGGTGTCTCATCATCTTCCAAATCACTCATTTCACAAGTTGTTTATAACCTGCAGATCAAGGAATACATGTTCTGTGCAGATTTTGTTTCCCCTTCCCATCCAGTAATAATTAAAAAAAATTTTTTTATTTAACAGCAAGGATCCAAACTGAAGTGAGTTTCATACAAGTGTAAACCAAAAATAAAATTCTAAGGCCCCCAGCCGACTGAATAAATCCCTCTTCTGGGCCCAAGTAAACCTGAAAAACCAGTTCTGTCCACCATGGGAAGGACATGGCTCATTATACTCTTCTTTCTTTGGAATTCAGGCACAACTGATCAGTATAAACATTAAAACAGAGATCTTAAGAGTGACAAAACAGACTCTTTGTAGCAATAAGATAACAAATTCCAACCTGTTTCTAGTATAGTACACATGACAGATAACAGGCCCTGACAGAAGTTGATGATTTTAGCCCAAAATATATTTTTGACCTATTTTGAAATGGTGCTGCAAAGCTGCCTCCTGTGGAGAATATCTACAACTACAGAGAATCCACTTTCCTTTCCAGGTCTTTTCCTGATCCAGGAGAGATTAATTAAGAGTCTGTCATCTTTTTTGATCTGATAGAGGCATGTAGCATCTAGTCTCTCTGAAGCCTGCTACCTGCAGGCTTCATCTACATAATAATAATAACCTTGGTCCTTAAAACCCCTTATCTTAATCCAGACCCTCCTTTCCATTGATTCCAAGATAGTAACTTAACTCTTTCAACCAACTGCCAATCACAGCAAATTTTTAATCTAACTATGAGCAGGAAGCCCTCCACTTCCAGTTGTCCTACCTTTCTGGACCATACATGTATGTACCTTACACATACTGTCTTATGTCTCCCTAAAATGTATAAAGCCAATTTCTTCCAAATAGTTTTATTTATATATACATCAAACAAATTATGGCATATAAATCATATATCAGTATTTTAGCTAGTTTATATATCCTCAGTATGAGAAACAGATGGTCAACATAAGAGTAAACAATGCTACCCAAAGCAATCAGATTTGATGCAATTCCTAACAAATTACAAATACCATTTCTCACAGAATTTAAAAAAAAATTATAAAATTCATATGGAACAAAAAAAGAGAATGAATAGACAAAGCAATCCTAAGCAAAAAAGAACAAAGCCAAAAGCATCCCATTACCTGACTTCAAACTGTACTACAAGGCTATATTAGATACAGTGAGTTCTACATTTCTCTTCAAAGAATTAGAATGTCAGTATGTTCAGTTATTTCTCCACCATTCTAAAGTTCTTCCTTTAAACGACTTCCTTGTAGTTTCAGTAAACAACCTTCTCCACCAGTTCTAATCAGTAGTTCACATCCTTCCCCCAGCCCCCAGCTCTGTCCTGACTCATGCTGGTCACCTGCTTTGGTCACCTGCTCCAGTCACCTGCTCGGACCTAGGTCACCGCTGGCTACCTGCTGTGACCTGCCTGTAATCATCCTTCCCACCAAACCACTCACCCTGCCACTCCGGCCCGTACCCCCCCTGCTCTCTTGAAAACAGCCAATTAGGATTAGTCTAGCCTGTGTGGTCTAACTCTCAATAATAGGGGAAGGACACAGCAGTAGGGGTGACCCCTGTCAGAAATAAGTACCCCTTTTCCTCCCTTGTCTAAGTGTGGGCTCACCATTGCTCCATCTGTGAGCCGCACTCTTCTATAGAAGTAAACTGCCTTGCTGAGAGAATTTATCTTTGAGTGCTATTTCTTCTGAGGCATCAAAATTTTACCTTTAATAATTCTGGTGGCTTGTATGGGGACAAACCATTCTCCACTGGGTGGTCTCAGGCATGAGGAGACACATCCCACCACTTCATTGCAGTGGCCTCAGGGGTAAGGAATTGAAACCTACCGAATGTGACAAACAAGCCCAGTCTCTCAGCAATGCGAGATTAAAAATAAATAAATAAAGCCTACAAATACCACAGCAACTAAGCAACTCCATGCACAGATCAAGAAAAAGACACCCCAGTAAAGTATTTCCTTGGTGGTTGAGACCAAGGTAAGAAAATCCCTGGGGGGTGGGGGGAGTAAATTATTCTTTGGTCAGAATGTACCAAGGCAAGAAAAGCTGTGGGGGGTGGGGGGTGTTGTCTGCTCCTCAGAACTTTTAGTCTCTGGGGTAAAAGGGGAAGGATTTTAAAAAAATTTTTAGAAAGCACAGAAGCCAAATACCAGGATCACTCAGCACATATTCAGTTCTTGTTAATCCCTGAAGCAGGGACTAATTTTGTTGGGGATGAATTTAATGCTAAAGTTAGGCATAGGTCTACAAATTAGCCCAAGAGGATTCCTCACCTCATTAAATCTACTCGCCACTGCAAATGAAAAATATATTAATCCTAATGTCTAGTCTAAAGAAGGGAACCAAGGGAAACTCTGAGTCTTTCCAATCCACATCAAGCTAAAGACCCCAGGAGTAGTAGTAAGAAGGAAGCAATACCCCATTCCCCTAGAGGGCAGGATAGGGTTGAAACCTATGATTGAAGGCTTTATTAAAGACGGGCTTCTTGAGCCTTGTATGTCCCCTTATAACATCCCAATATTGCCAGTCAAGAAATCGGACGGGTCATACTGGCTGGATTAGGACCTTAGAGCTATCAACCAAATTGTCCAGACTACCCACCCCATTGTCCCCAATCCTTACACCATTCTCAGCAAGATTCCATATAATCATCAATGGTTTACTGTAATAGATTTGAAGAATGCTTTTTGGGCACGTCCCCTAGCTGAAGATAGCTGAGATATATTTGCTTTTGAGTGGGAGGATCCCCATTCAGGGTGGAAACAACAATATCAATGGACAGTCTTGCCCCAAGGGGTCACAGATTCCCCTAATTTTTTTGGCCAAATCATAGAACAAGTATTAGAAAAGGTTGTCATCCCAGAGTAAATATGCATTCTCCAGTACGTGGATGATCTTATATCTGGTGAAGACATAGGGAAGGTAACTAACTTCTCTACACATACTCTTAACCATCTGCAGTTTGAGGGGCCATGAGTCTCAAAAAGAAAGCTTCAATATGTGGAGCCCAAAGTTAAATATTTAGGCCACTTAGTAAGTGCAGGGAAGTGAAGAATAGGGCCTGAACAAGTTGAGGGAATCGTGTCCCTAACCCTTGCCTCAAACTAAACAAGAACTCAGGAAACTTTTAGGATTAGGTGGATGCTGCCACTTATGGATTGACTCATATGCACTACACAGTAAACTGTTTTTTTTGTTTTGTTTTGTTTTTGTTGTTGTTGTTGTTGTTGTTGTTGTTTTTGAGACGGAGTTTCACTCTTGTTACCCAGGCTGGAGTGCAATGGCGCAATCTCTGCTCACCGAAACCTCCGCGTCCTGGGTTCAGGCAATTCTCCTGCCTCAGCCTCCTGAGTAGCTGAGATTACAGGCATGCACCACCATGCCCAGCTGATTTTTTGTATTTTTAGTAGAGATGGGGTTTCACCAAGTTGACCAGGATGGTCTCGATCTCTTGACCTCGTGATCCACCCGCCTCGGCCTCCCAAAGTACTGGGATTACAGGCGTGAGCCACCGCGCCCGGCCCACAGTAAATTGTTATATCAAAAACTTGCCCAGGAGAAGCCTGACCATCTCCTATGGACTTCTGAGGAAGATGATCAAGTCCAAAGGCTGGAAGACTCATAACTGCCCGTTTTAGCCTTACCCTCCCTAGTAAAGCCATCGCATCTTTTTGTCAACGTGGACAGTGGAGTAGCTTTAGGAGTGCTTACTCAAGAATATGGAGGCTGCTGGGAGCCCGTGGCCTTCGTGTCAAAGGTCTTAGATCCAGTCACTTGTGGATGGTCTCAATCCATTGCAACTATGGCAATATTAGTCAAAGAAAGTGGAAAGTTAACCTTTGGAGGAAAATTGACAGTAAACACCTCCCACCAAGTCAGAACTATCTTAAACCAGAAAATAGGAAGATGGCTTACTGACTCAAGAATCTTAAAGTATAAGGCCATTCTGTTAGAAAAAGATGATTTAACATTAACCACTGATAATTCACTCAACCCAGCAGTTTTCCTAAAGGAGAGAGAGTACACATGTTTGGTTTTAATTGATTACCATACAAAGTTTGACCAGACCTTGGAGAAATTCCCTTGAGGACTGGACAGCACTTATTCATAGATGGTTCCTCCCAGGTGATTGAGGGAAAAAGACACAATGGGTATTCAGTAATTGACAGAGAAACTCTTATAGAAATAGAGTCAGGAAGACTGCCGAACAGTTGGTCTGCTCAAACGTGTAAGCTGTTTGCACTTAGCCAATCCTTAAACTATTTACAGAGCCAGAAAGGAAGCATTTATATGGATTCCAAGTGTGCCTTTGGAGTGACCCATACATTTGGAAAAATTTGGACTGAACAAGGTCTTATTAATAGTAAAGGTCAAGATCTTTTTCAAAAGAAGCTAATCACCCAAGCATTGAATAATCTTCAGTTGCTGGAAGAAATAGCTATTGTCCATGCTCCTGGACACCAGAAAAGCCTTTCTTTTGAAAGTCTAGGAAATAACCTGGCAGATCAGACAGCTAAGCTGGCTGCTGTTTCTTCGGAAATGCATATTTTTCACTTAACTCCCTACCTCCCTCCTCCTACCGTAATCCCCATTTTCTCTTCCACTGAAAAAGAAAATTTAATAAGAATAGGCACTAAAGAGAATTCAGAAGGAAAATGGATATTGCCAGACCAGAGAGAAATGCTATCTTATGAGGAAAATCCTATCTCAACCACATCAAGGAACCCCCCACTGGGGGTTCCAGCCCATGTGCAATGCAATTCTCAGAGTTTATGGCTGTATAGAAATGTATACCCTGGCCAAACTACCCTTGCCTCAAACTAAACAAGAACTCAGGAAACTTTTAGGATTAGTTGGATGCTGCCACTTATGGATTGACTCATATGCACTACACAGTAAATTGTTTTTTTTGTGCAATGCAATTGCACAAAAAACTATCTGTAACCTGTTACAGATAGTTGCTTAGTATGTAAGAAA